AGCCGCGCACTGCCAATGGGAGCTGCCTACGGGCTCTGCAGATGGTGGGGGAGTAGAATTTTTTCGTGAAATCCTTAGTTCCACTTTGCTGAACGGAGCACTATTTGGGAAACACTGCCCTAGGAAATTTGCCGGTTTCTAAAGTCTTCCAGATAGTTAAGTGCCAGATAGCACACGTTTTACTGTATCTAGTTTGAAAATATTCAAAGGAACGGAACCTGCCACGACACCTACAAAAATGCATCAAGGTTTCTGTCTTACCACATAGTGCTGAGCCATACTCTTACTGCTGGAACCTGCAAGCATCCTCATCATTCCGTTTATTGTTTTGTTACCACATTGTTGCAACATGTGTTAAACTAGAACCCCCCTTTATGTTGCAAAGGTCCTACCAAAATTCTGGGTATTATTAATACTAACTAAAACTGAAGACAAATATCATCATATTTAATGAGTCTTTAACAGTTCATGGATACCCAAGAATGAGCCTTCCCCTTTTAGAAGGTGTGAAATTTTCTTTCAATTCTGAAGTGCAGTTTCATTTCAGCCATTACTTGTCTTGCTCTAGGGTAAAATACATAAAACACACTTACTTCATCTCTATAAAGAGGACTTGTGTAATACATTATATCCATTGCACTGCTGTTCAACATGTCCCTTAACCCACGTACTTTATCAGGAGTTATGGAATCAACAGTGTCTAAAAAGAGAGACTCAAGTGTTAGACTCAAAAGCATGATAAAAGTGTACAAGGTAAATGGAGAAACAACATGTGAAAACATTTATACTATGGCTACATACTTCTGAGAATACTATTATAAAAATATTACTAACAATACATTTAAAAGGAATTAAGTACTAAAATTAACACTTAAAATCAACCTAAGTGTTCACTTCTCCCATACTTGAACCAAAGACAACATTTTCCAATATAAATCACCATTTTGTTAACACTTGTGCATGCCTAAAAGTTTCATTTTCAGGTACTGTACCTCCATCAAGAGTAAGTTTTGATCTCCATTCAACAGGCAGAAACTCAACATGTGTGGCAAGATTGCAAAAGTACTTCTCTTCTATTTTTCTTGCAGTATCTCGCATCCTAAAAAATAAAATATGTATGTTTGCTAAGGTACATATTACATCAAATAAAAATTACAATATTTCAATTTAAGTTACTTTATGTATGTGAATCAAAGTTCTCATAGCTACTTTTCAATTATTACAGTATACATTTTAATAGAAATCTCATGCTGTTATTTTTAAATACCATGTCACCTTAAAATGTACTGTACTAAGCTAAAACAACAAGGAGTCCAGTGGCACCTTAAAGACTACCACATTTATTAGGGCATAAGCTTTCCTGAGTTGCAACTCACTTCATCAGACGCATGCTGTGAAAGAATAAGATGGCAGAGATACATACTACATATTACAGAGATAGGAATGTTGTAACAGTATTAATGAGACTAATCAGGGTGGATATGGCCCACTTACAACAGTGATAAGAAGGTGAGAATAACTATGGGGAGGGAAGAGGTTATTTATGTAATGAGAGCCATCCCATTTCTAGTCAGACCCATTCTCAAGGTGTCAAATTTGCATATGAATTCCAGCTCAGTAGTTTCACACTGCAGTCTGTTTTTGAAGGTTTTTTGCTTAAGAATTGGAACTTCAAGTCTGTAACTGAGTGCAGGTCATTGTTGGAAGTGGGCCACATTCACCCTGATTGAATTAGGCTCATTAACACTGAGATAACACTTCCATCTCTGTATGTATGTATGAATCTCACCCATAAAAAAAGTGGAAAAAGTGAATAAGGAAAAGTTATTTACTTATTCCCACAATATTAGAACCAGGGGGTCACCAAATTAAATTAACAGGCAGCAGGTTTAAAACAAACAAAAGGAAGTTTTTCTTCACTCAGTGCACAGTCAACCTGTGGAACTCCTTGACAGAGGATGTGACAAAGGCTAGGACTTTAACAGGGCTCAAAAAAAAGAGTTAGATAGATTCCTGGAGGTTAGGTCTATCAATAGCTATTAGCCTGGATGGGTGGGAATGGTGTTCCTAGCCTCTGTTTGTCTGGAAATGGGTGACATGAGAGGAATCACTGATGATTATCTGTTGTTTCCCCTCCCTCTGGGGAATCTGGTATTGGCCTCTGTGAGCAGACAGGATACTGGGCTAGATGGACCGTTGTTCTGACCCAGTCTGGAAGTTCTTATATGATCATGTTGCTGACAAAGTGAGCTGCAATTCACAAAAGCTTATGTCCTAATAAATTTGTTAGTCTTTAAGGTGCCACCAGACTCCTTGTTGTTTTTGCTGAAACAGACTAACCTGGCTACCCCTCTGAAACCTGTACTGAGATACTGAATTTTTGTATAATGGAAAACTTTGCATATTATTTACCACGAGATGAAGTCTTTGATATTACTATTGAATTATATTAAAGCTGACCCAGACTCCAAAGTCAGAGGGAGCTTTCTCATTAACTTCGAATGGGTTTTGGATCAGGCCCACTGGTGAAATCCAGGCCTCAAATGAAGTCAAAGCCATTGATTTCAATGGTCCCTGGATTTACCCAAGTGATTTGTCTCATACATAAAGCAGCTAATTTAGATTTTTACAATATGACGTGTAATTTGAAGAGTTAGACTGTCAATTGAGAAGTGAAGGCTTGAAAGGCCTCAAAGCAAGCAACACAAGTGTTTATTAATATTCAAACTGGTGGCAATAGACTAACTTTCCTTTAAAGCTTCCTTTTCTTTAGGGCATATTTGAGCATAGAAAAACCCAAATGTATTTAGTTTTGGAAAAGTATTTTCAAGTACTAAGTTGTGTCTGGCTCATGCCATTTTTAGGGCTTTTATAATAATTTACTTTAAAAAAGTCTCCCCCTCTGCTGCTGTGTGAAAGACTCTCAAGAAAAAAGGGAAGCTGGATAATCACCTATAAAAGATGACAGTAAAATATATATATAATGCTATACAATGCACAAGCAAATAAGTAAAGGAATCTATATTGTTTACTCTCTTTTAGTTATAGTAATCTTAGGCATTCTTGAGAAAACTAGCAGGTTAAAATTCAGAAAGATGTGTGATTTATGTTGATGGTGTTCCTTAAAAAAAAAAAAAAAAAAAAAAAAAAGTAAAAACACACAAAAAACAGGTTTTAAGAGTATAGTAGTCCAGAACTAGAAAAAGCCATTTCCAGGCATTAGTTTGTTCTGAAAAGAGGAAATGAGGCTTAGTTCAGTGTTCCCACATGTATATTTGTTTTAAAGCAAACTCCTTTCAGTGCCTTTAGCTGGAGCAGAACCATTATTATAGACTTGACTACAACTAGGCAATTTTCAGAAAAACAACTCACTGGTGTTACCACTAGTCCAACTGATGCAGTATTAGAATTCAAGCGAGCATAGACAAGTCTGTCAGTTTCCAGTTTGGGTAGGTTTGTTTGTGTGTTTCTTCTTTTTTTTTAAAATTAGCACATCAATTAACCAGCAGCAATAAAGCCAGAAGCTGCTGGAATCCTATCTCCACTAGGGTTCCCAACACAGGAAACACTGGTTCAGATGAATGATGTGAATTTTTTCCCCCCCTTAGGTTCTCTGATGTACCTACCTTGCTTATCCTGAATATAAAGGTATAATGGATGTTTGTCACTTTTGCTTTGCAGGCATACCTACAGAGTTATGGGTATGCTGCTCTTATAGATTTAGAAGCAACTGCATCCACTGGAATGAACATGGAGCAGGAAACCAGGTAATCCCAAATTCTATTCCAGCTCTGCCATTCACTCACTACATGCTGCTTGATTCAAAGCTCTCTGAGGTTTATGGAGAGATTCTACACAACCTCGGGCAAGTCACTTCCATCTCTCTGCTTCAGTTTCCCTACTTGTAAAATACAAGTAATACTCACCCACCTCACTGAGAGGTTGTGAGGGTAAAGTAGGTAATATGTGAGCGCTTTGAAAAATATATTCTCTACCAACATATTAATATTTGGACACATTAAAAAACCCAACAAATTCACGCTCCAAAATGTATATACTACACTTCTCAGAAATTATAAAGCTTTTCACTTCAATAGGGATTGAAGCTAATTATTCCATAAACTTGATATAACAATTTTATTTCATTTGGACTGAAAGGATTTTTATTTCTGTTTCTGGAGGGAGGGAATGAAAAGGAAGGGAAACTGCCTTTTCTGTACTCATTTACAAACTGTTGGGCTGACCTAAAGACATAAATAACCAGGAACCCCATTGTACTCTTAGCATCTTGATCCTCGCACCTATTGGATGGTCCTCAGCCCTACCGGATGGTAAGTACTTAAGAAGAACAGCAGTATGCTCAGCTCACAAAGGAAATAAAGTAATCTACTCAGCAAGAATGTTTGTTCAAAGTGATAGAGATGTAGCCGTGTTAGTCTGGGGTAGCTGAAGCAAAATGCAGGACAATGTAGCACTTTAAAGACTAACAAGATGGTTTATTAGATGATGAGTACATTGGACAAACATCTCAGACACTTCGCCAAAGGATTAATGCCCACAAAACAGATATCAGACAAGATCACAAAGAGAAAACAGTTTCTTGCCATTTTAACCAGAAAGGACACTCTCTCAATGACTTAACCACCTGCATTCTGCTACAAAGACCTTTTACATCTGCACTTGAAAGGGAATCCTCTGAACTGTCATTCATGTTAAAATTCGACACTCTCCGAGAAGGAATGAACAAACACTCAAACTATCTTACCCATTACCGTTGTTGTTAACGGTTCTAAATCCTGCTGGAAAGGGATAACAAGTGGAGTTCCTCAAGGGTCTGTTTTGGGACCCGTACTGTTCAATATCTTCATCAATGATGTAGATATTGGGATAGAGAGTACGCTTATTAAGTTTGCAGATGATACCAAACTGGGTGGGATTGCAACTTCTTTGGAGGATAGGGACATAATTCAAAATGACCTTAGCAAGTTAGAGAAATGGTCAGAGGTAAACAGGATGAAGATTAGTGGTACTCCACAGGCTCTGAAGGAAGCTCCATTAGTTCCTCCTCTGAAGGATGTCTCTGATATGATGCCAAAAGAATAATGCAGTGGGGGTAAATAGAGCAAGAGAAGAAAGGAAATTCTCAGATTTCCTGGGGACATTCTTAAGGGAAGGAGAAAGAAGGAGATACAGAATGACCACAAACACCTCAACTACAAACTGATCTAACACTAGCAGATAAGCATACTATGCTATTGCTCACAAGAGGTCTCCAAATAATCTTATTTGGAAGACTAACTTTAGCCCCACAGAATTTCCATTTTCAAGATTACCAAGACAATGCAAGAAATTCAATAAATATATTTATAATACCTTTATTGAGATATCTAAGTAACCAAATCAAAAGAAAATACACTTGACTAAACAAAAAGTTCACCAGACAGCACAAGACATATGGAAAGTTAAAAATCTTAAAATCTAAAGACAAATTCTTGAAAACACTCCTTCAGTAGAGACTAGAGAAGTTCTCGCCTCCTCCAAGAAACTGAACAGTTAGTTAGTGCCCTACTAACAATAAGTTCAGAAATACTAACATCAATATTGAACAGATAGGATGCAATCAGCTCCTAGTTTCAAACAATGGGATAAAGCACAGAAGCATCAAACATGCATAACGCACAGAATTCCACACAATAAGTACAAGAAATTAGGATAGCAGAGTAACACCTTTGTGAAATAACTGGGTCCTAACAGTTGCAGAAGGTAAAGGAATCACACAATGGTAGCAGTTGCAAATATAAAAAGCAATACAATTATAAACAGGAATAAAGTCTTAATTTAAAAAGTACATCAGAGCCCTTTAAGACTGGGATGATATGTCGTCAGATTCTGCAGGCTTCTTTTGACCAATTATGTTACTAACCTTTGCTGGGTTTTTAAAGATGTTTAGTTGTCTGATAAAATTCACCCAATGCTTGGAAGGTTATGGGGCCACAAAAGTCAATCTCATTTCATGTATCCGTGGATCTCTTCTTTCTTTTCAGAAGCAATGGGGCATACTCTAGGCAAATTGGAACCTTCGCATCATGGAATACTGAG